GTCCTGCCCCTGCAGTACGAATTCACCACCACTACCAAAATATTTCTCCAAACAGAACTTTATTAAAGGCTGAATTTTTTTTTTAAGTTCATAAACTTTGTACTTTTCTATAAGAAAGGAAATAAAATTAGTACTGATTCAGGACAAGCACGAAAAGGTGTGCTTTGGTTGTTTATTAGAAGTCTGATCAACTAGTGTCTGTTTTTCGCCCATGGTAACGATTCCACCCCCTTTCAGCATCCTCAGTTATTAAAGTGAAAAAATAGATTACCTGCTGCTACACACCAATGTTCAAATATTAGTATTCCGCCTCCCAAACCAGCTATTTTTTAAATTACGTGTTTATGATTTCATCACAGGTATTACTAAGACAATTTGATATTACATATTAAGTTCAATATTAAATTCAGTACATACAAATTATTAAAGTCAGTAAACAATCTATAAAATGTAGTATTAACTATGCTAACACACAACCACATGCTATGCATAAGACTTAACAAATGCATTTACACTCAATCATAATAAACTGTACACAGGGTCCGTATATTACGCAGTGCACAGATAAAGCATGCACAGATAAAATCATCTAGTTCCACGGAACAGGTAAAAGAATAAAAAATTATAGATTAGCTACTAAAAAAAGCTATTTTTAATATACTTACTCCTCATTATGTTAAAAATTTGTTTCTGTTTTCAAATTTTAATTACTATATCTTAAAGACAACAATCACAAATAATTCCTTAATATATTTCACTGATGAGCAGGGAAAATAAACTTTTTTTTAATATTTGAGATTATGGAGGTTAGAATCAAACAGTGATTGAAAATCAAAAATCTAACTGTAGAACAGTCAACTTAACATTTTATGTGTAATCTGACAATGAATTTAAAATGCTGGATCCTGTATCCCAAACGAACATCTGCGCATTTTCCTATTTATACATTACGTGAAGTCCTTTCGGTCAGAGACACTAAGAGCACGGATTAGGACCTGTAGGCAGAGTACCGACATGATCTTCACGGGAAGGGACGTATGGAAGAAGGGATGAAGGGTGATCAAGCAACATGCATTTTTGTATATCAAGCTTCAGGCAATGCGTTAGCAACTTTCGCACACGTTATTTCATTTAATTCTAACAATTTCAAGGGGCAGGTAGTGTAATTCATTTCGATTTTACAGAAAGTGTCCCGTAACTTTGTCAGTGGTGGACCTGAGATCTAACTAAACCAAGACCTGATGGCGAAATCAAAGTCCTCCTTTACAAGGACTTGCAAATCAGCACCTGTTAACGTGTTCTTTTGCAAGAGGTTATCTAACTGAAAGACTGACTTGATTTTCCATATTTATACTTATTACTTAAAACATCGACAGGGCACTCACTTCTCCACTTACCAAGAATGTTCACAGATTTTTCTAATCTAGAAAAAAGCAATACTGATCATTTTTAATCCACAAAGCGGCATTTTCATAGCCTTATCACTAATAAAAAACTTCAGCTAGACTTTGTAACATTCTCATGTACCATGAGTATGTGTTCCAAAGCAAAAACAAAAAAACAAAAAACCGGGTATGGTCTGATTATAAGACAGAATAAATGAAATGAGAAATGCGCACAGACAATCCAGGACCTTCATCATTGCACGTTACACTCCTCTTACCCGATTAAAAGCAGCAAAGGGAGAAAAGGGTGGCTTTCCAAACCCGGACTGACAAGCACGCTACTTCCCAGGGACAAGTCTGCCTGCAGCTTCCTCCTCCTAAATCAGAACACACATCTACTAAAAAGATTTCACTGAAATATGTCAAGCATCAAAATCACGTTCTATTAAACACTTCCATAATTACTTAACCACCCTCAGAATACACTTGAATAGCTCTCCTGGTAACCAAACAATTAATGATGTTGCTATTGCTTAAATATTTATAAAATTAATGTTAACCTGCAGGGCATTCTAAACAGAATACAAAGCTGTAACGTAACTGTTTTTGAAGAAACACCACTCGAAACCCAACATCTTTAAAAGATTATTTCCAACTGCATTTACAAAAACAATCTTTGTCACACATACCTATTAAGGAAATGTACGACCTCTAAGAATATGAAAAGAGGTTATTCTCTAAGTATACTTCAACATGGTGACATTAAAATGATTATTTCTGAGCCCCAATGAGCTATTTCCCTTCCACTGAACAACCCCCCACCACTCACTCACTCCACTCAGCAACTGGATTTTCTTTAAAACTTTTGCTGGGAAGCAATTTAAGTTTAATTTTATCACCCGTGTTCTAATATGAATAAAACCATAGCTTTATGCATATATACCAACAGTGTGCCTTAAATGAAATAAATAAGCAAAGTTGTTTAGGGAGGTCCCTATTCACGAAATCTTTGATTCATTAGTTAAGTTTCTACTGGAAACATTCTTGCAAAAGAAATGTTAAAGACTGAGTCTACAAAGTACTTAAACTCAGCTTTAGCTCTTCAGAGTATTGTCATTAACACCATTATCACAACTTTCTAGAATAATGCTGAGAATTGGAAGTGATTCCAGAATCAACCAGTGCATCATCATATAGAAGAAACTAATCTTAGTATTTTAGGACACACATTACATGTTCATTATATTTGATACAAATTATAACTAAAAGTGGCATCTGCTTCAGTGAAAACGTTTTGATTTTCCCCCTGAAACAAAAGTTACAGTTAAAGAGTGAAGACAAAGCCCTCCAAAAATAAACACCCCCAAAAAACCCTACGACCAAAACCTGGACATAGAAAAGCCATAGAACAGTTATACGTCCTCAATTCACGTTTAAAATAAATGCCATTTTTGTGTTAAAAAAAAAAAAATAGAGCTATTTTGTTTACCTTTTCCACAAACTGCCAGTTCAAGTACTGCCAAGGTAACAGATTTTAAACTGACAACTGGAGTACCTGGCAGTGGCCAAAACACCACAGCTGGATCCTTAAAGAAAAAGTACCCTTGGTGTGATGTACACCTAGTTACAGCTTGAGAACCTTCTCTCCATATAGTAATAGATACGAGACAGAAGGGAAACGCGCTGTGCTAAACACACACACACATACCAAAAAGGAAAACTTGAATTTTAAACAATATTTGTTTTAAAACACACATTATTGTTAACATATCACAGCAGGCCGCTGATAGCACATTTACTGGAATCCCGATCTCACTGTAAACTAAAACGCAGGTTAACCCTATGCGGCTGGTTCCCAGTCTACACAACACACCGCTCCCGACTGGATCATGACGGGAAGCTCGCTTCCTATCTCGGGAACCATCACACTTCAAGTCTTCACTTTCACAGGGGAAAAAAAAAAAAAATTTTTTTTCCTAATTCAGAAATGCTCACCTTTTCCAAAGCTGTTGGCACTATGTCACCTACTAATTTAATCCCCACTGTTCCAAGACGAGATGATAGCGAACTCAAAAGCAAAGTTTCCAGCACACAAAACCCTGCCCGCGAGCCGGGGTCGGGGGTCTCCTGGGCTGTCCGGGGCCAGCGAGCGGTCCCCTCCGCAGCCCCTCCGTCCCCG